GTACCCTCGACCGAGTCCCGAGTACCTCGACTGAATCCACCTCCACATCGACCGAGTCCACGAGTACCTCGACCGAGTCCACGAGTACCTCGACTGAATCCACCTCCACTTCGACCGAGTCAACGAGTACCTCGACCGAGTCCACGAGTACCTCGACTGAATCCACCTCCACCTCGACCGAGTCCACGAGTACATCGACTGAATCCACCTCCACATCGACCGAGTCCACGAGTACCTCGACCGAGTCCACAAGTACCTCGACTGAATCCACCTCCACATCGACCGAGTCCACGAGTACCTCGACCGAGTCCACGAGTACCTCAACTGAATCCACCTCCACATCGACCGAGTCCACGAGTACCTCGACCGAGTCCACGAGTACCTCGACTGAATCCACCTGCACTTCGACCGAGTCCACGAGTACCTCGACCGAGTCCACGAGTACCTCGACTGAATCCACCTCCACCTCGACCGAGTCCACGAGTACCTCGACTGAATCCACCTCCACCTCGACCGAGTCCACGAGTACCTCGACCGAGTCCACAAGTACCTCGACTGAATCCACCTGCACATCGACCGAGTCAACCAGTACCTCGACCGAGTCCACGAGTACCTCGACTGAATCCACCTCCACATCGACCGAGTCAACGAGTACCTCGACCGAGTCCACGAGTACCTCGACTGAATCCACCTCCACCTCGACTGAGTCCACGAGTACATCGACTGAATCCACCTCCACCTCGACCGAGTCCACGAGTACATCGACTGAATCCACCTCCACCTCGACCGAGTCAACGAGTACCTCGACCGAGTCCACGAGTACCTCAACTGAATCCACCTCCACATCGACCGAGTCCACGAGTACCTCGACCGAGTCCACGAGTACCTCGACTGAATCCACCTCCACATCGACCGAGTCCACGAGTACCTCGACCGAGTCCACGAGTACCTCGACTGAATCCACCTCCACTTCGACCGAGTCAACGAGTACCTCGACCGAGTCCACGAGTACCTCGACTGAATCCACCTCCACCTCGACCGAGTCCACGAGTACATCGACTGAATCCACCTCCACATCGACCGAGTCCACGAGTACCTCGACCGAGTCCACAAGTACCTCGACTGAATCCACCTCCACATCGACCGAGTCAACGAGTACCTCGACCGAGTCCACGAGTACCTCGACTGAATCCACCTCCACCTCGACCGAGTCCACGAGTACATCGACCGAGTCCACCACGAGTACCTCGACTGAATCCACCTCCACATCGACCGAGTCAACCAGTACCTCGACCGAGTCCACGAGTACCTCGACTGAANATTCACCTCCACATCGACCGAGTCAACGAGTACCTCGACCGAGTCCACGAGTACCTCGACTGAATCCACCTCCACCTCGACCGAGTCCACGAGTACCTCGACCGAGTCCACAAGTACCTCGACTGAATCCACCTCCACATCGACCGAGTCCACGAGTACCTCGACTGAATCCACCTCCACATCGACCGAGTCAACGAGTACCTCGACCGAGTCCACGAGTACCTCGACTGAATCCACCTCCACCTCGACCGAGTCCACCAGTACCTCGACCGAGTCCACGAGTACCTCGACTGAATCCACCTCCACATCGACCGAGTCAACGAGTACCTCGACCGAGTCCACGAGTACCTCGACTGAATCCACCTCCACCTCGACCGAGTCCACGAGTACCTCGACTGAATCCACCTCCACATCGACCGAGTCAACGAGTACCTCGACCGAGTCCACGAGTACCTCGACTGAATCCACCTCCACCTCGACCGAGTCCACCAGTACATCGACTGAATCCACCTCCACCTCGACCGAGTCCACGAGTACCTCGACTGAATCCACCTCCACATCGACCGAGTCAACGAGTACCTCGACCGAGTCCACGAGTACCTCGACTGAATCCACCTCCACATCGACCGAGTCCACCAGTACCTCGACCGAGTCCACCAGTACCTCGACTGAGTCCACCTGCACCTCGACCGAGTCCACCAGTACATCGACCGAATCCACCTGCACCTCGACCGAGTCCACCAGTACCTCGACCGAATCCACCTGTACCTCGACCGAGTCCACCAGTACC